ATATAATCACAAGTCAGACGTATATAGTGTCGGTGTAATCGGGAAGGAGTTGTTTGGCATTGATTTTGATGCCTCGCAATCGTTTGAAGCAAATGACTCGGTGTTCAAGACATCCATACAATGTCTATACCAGACATTACTGGCAATGATGTCAACACCCGTTTGGAGACAAAGACCTGAGTGTCGGCAAGTGTTGACCAAACATAACGAGTGGTCTATCGATAAGTCTGTTGTCACGAATCACAAGGAATTCAATGAAGTTTTAAATACACTTAAATCTAATGTGAATTCAGTTTTCTATGAGATTTTATTTCGCAAAACACAATAATATATCATATAATAATAGTTTTGATGATTATTTTAAGCTTCCAATCCATTACCAAGCTCATTGTTTAATTTGCAATAAGTTACACAATTATTTAATTTCTACCAGTTTTAGAGAATTTCTATAACTGCAGACATTATATGATTTAAAACTAGTTTAACTACATTTAAATTTAAAGACAACATTTCTGATGTATTTCTCTTTTTTACTCAAAATTCATAAGAAATGAGATAATATTGAAGTGAAAAAAGTTAGCATTCCTTATGAATTGGCGAACATTTATCCAAAGAATACATATCTTATAAAAATTAATTATTGCTTATTTTTCACTTCAAATATCTTTACATTTGAGTTAAGACTTGACAAAAGCTTTAAATGCAAATTAAATGCTAATTTCAATGACAATCAGAAGGTGTGTCTCGTTGTGGAGGACATCGAGTACTATACTATGCCTTACAAACCACGTATTGTCCTCAATGTTAATTTAACTATAATTATTTCATTATATGCTTGAATTGAAAACTTTGCCAAACAATCCTAACAAATGAATGCATTTTAATATTATCATATTTATGGCAACAAATGCCTTAATTATCTTCAAAATTGTCATCAAATCCTATGGCTGTACATATAGTGGTGTTCAGACCCCACACCTAACCCCTAACCCCCTATACCTGTGCCAGACCTACACCTGTACTCACAAGTGAGACAATACAGTGAGCGTACAGTGAGTTGTTGTGTCTATGAGTGAACACTACTATTGGCTATTGATGTTCACAACTGACACGTGGTATGAGTTACTGATGGCAATGGTTTTGCACAACACTTGTCATCACTTGAATCGCATCCCAATTATAATCCATACGATTATCACTGCAATGAATTGATCCCTAAGAGTAGTATTGTGTCAATCAATTACTATCTAAATGTCAATCACTGTTGAAATCCATTGAAATGAATGTCAAAACAAATATTTTGGTTAAAAACGGAAAATTACCCAAAATTAGTGAAGAAAGTCATGTGAATGGCGGACAAGAATACAGTCCAAGAAGTGATGGCAATCATCGCAATGATAACCACTCGACTGCCGACGAAGACGCGGATCAACCGGAAGACAAACCGCTGACAATGAATGTGGAGATCAATGCCATCGCATGGCTTCTCTTTGCCATTGGATTCGCCTTCAGATTCTACCGATTGTCCGAACCATCGAGTGTTGTGTAATGTCTTCATACCATTCGCTTTGCGTGTCTTTTACCCACTAATCGTATACTCTTTTTGTCTGACTTTGTCTTCAGTTTCGATGAATTACATTACGGAAAGTTTGTCTCACTTTACTTGAGAGGTGTCTTCTTCTTTGATTCTCAGCCACCGCTCGGCAAACAGTTGATAGCATTGAGCGCTTATGTCTCCGGATATAACGGCCAACACGTGTTCACAAATATCGGCGAAAGTAAGTGATTATCTGTTGTGACTATCTATTGGTTAATAACTAATAACACGTGAAAACACAGAATACGAATCGGATGTACCGCTGAAGGCGTTGCGATTTGTTCCCACACTCTTTGGCTCATTCATTGTTCCAACCGTTTATCACTTAATTGTTGAAATGGGTTTAACTCACAGAACGGCTACTTTGGCCGCACTTCTCATCATTTTGGGTCTGTTTTGTCATTAATTAACATCTGATGGAAGACTAATCTCATGACATTTTTATTGATGTGACAGACAATGCATTGTTAACTCAATCGCGTTTTATATTAATGGAAACGATTCTCATATTCTTCTCATTGTTTGGCATTTTATCATTTGTTATCTCCACAAAAAAGCCCACATTTAGTATTGGATGGATCTCTTGGCTCGTCATCTCATCCCTGTTCATCACATTTGGCTTTTGTGTCAAATATATCGGAATATTCTCTCTATTTCTCATACATTTTATTATATTCTGTGATTTTTGGACAAAACTCGCCAATAAATCCATCAAAACTGTAATTATATTCTTCGTCTCAAATATCATGAAAACTAATTCTTTGCTGCATTTGCTTTCAGTTATACCTTTGGTTGGAATTTGTGTTTTATATCTTCAACTTTATTATTCTTCCGATTCTTATTTATACCACAGTTTTTTACATTCATCTATCAATACTCACTAACGCCGGGCCTCACGACAACATAATGACCAGCGCTTTTCAGGCCAGTCTTGAGGTATTGTCATTGGAATACTTATAACATGTTTGAAATACTAAAAGCTAATTGACTCGTAAAGGGAGGGTTAGCCTCTATAACGAAAGGACAGCCACTGGAAATAGCTCACGGATCACAGATCACTCTTAGACATACTCACGGCAGGGCCTGTTGGATGCACTCACATCAGGCCTTATACCCCGTTAGATATTCGGACAATAGGGGCAGTTCTCATCAGCAACAGGTCACCTGTTATTCGTTCAAAGATGTGAATAACTGGTGGATCGTTAAGAAACCCGAAATGTAAGATATTTTGCTAATTATAATCCTATTCATCAGTTTTCTTCTTGAATATAGCAATGATTTGGTTATTTCTGAACCAATCGATCGAATCAAAGACGGAGATTATGTACAACTAATCCACGGCATGAGTGGTCGAGCGCTCAACAGTCATGACGTGGCGGCGCCGGTGTCTCCGCAGAATCAAGAAGTTGCCTGTTATATTGATTACAACATATCAATGCCGGCGCAGAATCTCTGGAAAATAAAACTCTTGAACAGCGATGAAACGAACGGCTTCTGGCATACCATCAGCTCAAGAGTTCAGTTCATTCACGTCAACACATCTCAAGCTCTAAAAGTTGGTCCATTTGGCACTGAATGTGGTCTAAGTTTGTTTGTTTGTAACGTTGTTGCTGTGCCTATAGTTCAGTGGCAAACAATTGCCCGATTGGGGGTTCAATCAGCACGAGATGGTGACCGACAAGAATCACAATCAAGAGGACGCCGTTTGGAATGTTGAGGAACACAGATATACCAAGAATTCGGATGTGAAAGAAAGGGAACGTGAGATGGGTTTAGCAGAGTTTGTTCCCCTCAAACCGACTCAACTCTCATTCTTTGTCAAACTGTTTGAATTGCAGTACAAAATGCTTGTCGTAAACCAGGAGACCGTCCAAAACCATATCTATAGTTGCGATTCGCCATTAGATTGGGTGACACTCACGAAAGGCATCGCTTATTGGGTTAGCTCTGACAGCAATGTAAGTCATTGTATGGACAGAAATCAATGCTTATATCTGATGATCATTTTTTATTTTAGGCACAAATCCATTTGATTGGAAACATAGTGTTGTGGTATTTGGCAAATATTTCGGTGGTTTTATATATATTTTTATTTATATTTTATTTACTGCGAAGAAAAAGAAATATTTACGACATTTCCGACCGTAAGTCTCATATGAAATGCCAAATGAAATGTATTTAATTGTCAAAAACTCACGTTTAGATCAATGGCAGAAATTTGTGAGATGTGGTCAGTTCTTCACAGTCGGCTATTTTATAAATTTGGTGCCGTATTTCCTATCGGAAAGGACTCTATTCCTTCACCATTATCTGCCGGCACTGGTCTTCAAATTATTGGTGATGTCAGCGCTTATCGAGCACTTGAAATGTTGGATTCCCTCGAGAATTGTCAACAGTTTGGTCGCAATACTTATTTCATCAATAGTTTACACATTTATTAAATTTTTGCCATTGAGTTATGGGACCGGAAAACTCACGGCAAGTGATGTCCAGAGTCTTAAGTGGCGCTCTTCGTGGCAGCTCATCGTCCATAAGCCATAAGTTATTGCATTCATTTCAGTGCCATTCAAACTATTTATATATTTTTACAATTTTTTATATCGATATTTATTTATAAAACAATTTATTAAATGTTATCTTTATTTATAATATAAAATAAACTAAAAACTAATGAAATATAAGATAAAATTGATGTTAAACTATATAATACTCGATTAACACTTGATGTTCGGGTCATCGCCTATGATAGTGACCACAGAAGGAGTCAATCGACTGATGAGTGCGAATCTTTGTTCTTCTTTGAGGGCATTCTTCCACTTCATTTGGAAGAGTTGTGTCGCAATTGAGTCCATATCTAATGGTTTGGCGTTTTTGTCTAAATCTATTTTCTGGTAATGAATAGCTGTCAACACAATCACGGCTTCGGTATATCTGGAGTTGTGATGGTCTGTGAACTGATGCAAAGTCATAATGTCTTCGGCAGCAATTGAATCGACGTTTTCGATGACAATCGTGTGCTTCTGTTGAACATCGAAATTGTCATCAAATGTGTCGACAATATGTGTGGAATGGGTTTGTTTGCCATCGATTCGCGCGGAATCGCTCTCATTATAGGCTTTATTAACGGTTTCGACAAAATCTCTTTCCACACAATTTAAGACATTTGTGTTCTCTTTGGAAGCGATAAACAGGACGACCGCCGGCGCCGCCGACGGAGTGTCTCGTCGAGTCACCACATTCTTTACTGAAGTACTCAACACTTTGAAACCAATTTGCGGCAAAACTTCATTGTATTTAAGTTTAAATGAATTGAATTCATCGGTAAATGTCTGCCATTCATTCAAATCAGTAGATGATTTGGTGACGAAGAATGCGCTGTCTTTGGCCACAAGATATGCTGCGATGATAATTAAGGCCATCACTAATAAAGTCAAAAGCCAATAAAAACCGCTGTTGTCTTCATCACAAGTTGTGCCCTTCGGTTGTGGTATTCTTGAACCGCGTGTCGACCCCTCAACTTCTCGCGCCGCTCGTCCTAATCCATGGTAAGGATTTCTTAACGCTTCTTCTTCTTCCTCGTCATGTTTGACCATAGGTTTGAGTGTTTCATTTGCGGCCACCTCTTCGTCGTCCACATTATTTTCGTTATCAATCAAACCCTCAAATCCGAGCCTTCCGTCCCTCGAGAACTCATCGCCTTTATAGACAACTCTCCGACCCCTCAAGTCTTTATATGCACTCATTTTACACTCATTTGGCACTCAATTCATCACTAAATTAATAAATCAATCGTTAATTCAATTATTATCTCAAAAACGATATTTCACTTCAATTTTTGACGATAATTTCAAATATAATTTCTGTCCACAAATAACGTAATCATTTTTGGTAGTGAGGGGTTAGACGTGACCTCAAAATCAAAGCGTTTCGTTTAATTGAGTGTAAAATCAGTGCAAATATTAACTCAATTTTGAAGAATTTGTTTATAAAATACTATTATTTATAAAATATGTTTAAAAGTAAATGTATTTTAAATTAAATACAAATTAAACGCAAATAACGTGTTTTGTGAACACGTTTTGTCAGCCAATGATTGAGTGATGCTTCTTCATCACAAGTTGTGCCCTTCGGTTGTGGTATTCTTGAACCGCGTGTCGACCCCTCAACTTCTCGCGCCGCTCGTCCTAATCCATGGTAAGGATTTCTTAACGCTTCTTCTTCTTCCTCGTCATCTTTGACCATAGGTTTGAGTGTTTCATTTGCGGCCACCTCTTCATCGTCCACATTATTTTCGTTATCAATCAAACGCTCAAATCCGAGCTTTCCATCCCTTCCACCCCTCGAGAACTCGTCGCCCGTATAGACAACTCTCCGACCCCTCAAGTCTTTATATGAACTCATATTTTACACTCATTTGGCACTCAATTCATCACTGAATCAATAAATCAATCGTTAATTCAATTATTATCTCAAAAACGATATTTCACTTCAATTTTGACGATAATTTCAAATATAATTTCTGTCCACAAATAACGTACACTTTTTTGGTAGTGAGGGGTTAGACGTGACCTCAAAATCAAAGCGTTTCGTGTAATTGAGTGTAAAATCAGTGCAAATATTAACTCAATTTTGAAACATTTGTTTATAAAATACTATTATTTATAAAATATGTTTAAAAGTAAATGTATTTTAAATTAAATACAAATTAAACGCAAATAACGTGTTTTGTGAACACGTTTTGTCAGCCAATGATTGAGTGATGCAATGATTGTCTGTTTTGTGGTTATGTTTACATCTTTTCATGGATTGATTCCTCAATGAATTGAACCCAAAATGTCTTCAAATGCAGCCATCGATGACTTAGAGGAGGGAGAGATTGAGGAGAAGAACTCGTTTGACTCGATGTTTGGCCACAATTTGGCCACAAATGAGACAATTGTTGGCAACGATCGCAACGCCAATAGATTTTACTCAATGCCCGCTTCGGAGTCGTTGTTTGGTTTGAGTGATGTCGACCTCAGGTTTGATCCAAACGCCAATGCCTTCAATGATTGCGATGAAAGACTTGTCGCCAACACATCCGGTCGACAAAGACATGAAAACCCGAATGCAATTTACGCCAGAAATGCCAATATTTTGAACAGTAATTTGAGACCACATCTGAATGAATCGATTCCCATGTCTTTCAGTGGCAATCGGTTTGATTCTCGACCTCCGATGCCTTCATTTCTATCCGCTTTCAGACCCGAGAATTCAATGCCGTTTCGAATGCGACCACAAATGCCTTCAATGAATGCATTGCTTCCGACACCAAATGCTATGCCTTTAAGACATTTACCACCGAATCAATTGTTTCGACCGATTCGACCGCCAATTGGTCCAGACTTTGATGCCTCTAATTATCGTCATTCGCCGCAACAGTTTATCAATTGTAATCCATGTCCGCCGCCAACGATGCCATACATGTCTGATCCACTACTTCAGGGCCGGACCCACACTCCCGAAGCCAAAGGTGTGACCTCTTTCGTGATCTCAAACGACAGTCACTCAAACATTCCGTTCATTTGTGACACCAATGAAAATGCAGGCCAAAGACCCGAAGAGTCATTTGACGCTAAAGTCAATAATTTTATGAATTCATTAAATAATAGGACAATAGTGTTGGAGACGGACAATGATATAACCGAAGTAGAGATGCCCGACGCCGCGGATCTCTCGCCATACGATCCCGAAGAAGACATCACTTATTTGTGTACAATTTCTCCCACAAAAGACAGTCAAAGTGTTAAACAAAATAATAGTAATTTGAGTTTGAATGAGAAGAAGAAGAGTGAATCCAATACCAGAACAGGTGTGAGGAATGATAGCGCAAAACAGGCCGAAAGGCTTAACCGTTTGCTAAAAATTGAATCCTTTAAAAGTAATGATAAAAGATATGATACGAAAGGAAAGCGATCATCAAATAAGATCTCAAAACCACTGACCCCTCGACGAGACAATCGATTGAAATCTTCGCAAACGAGCAAATCTTCGTCCAAAAGCATTGTTCATAAGAAGATGTGCCGAAAAAATGTTCATAAAAGTAGACGAGAGACCAAAAGAGTTGCCAAACGGCAAGTCGTTGCGTATAAAGTGGAGCAAAGGTTCGCCGATTTAAGACCCAAACCACGGAATAATATGAATGAATCCTCTTATGAAGATTTACTCGAAGAATACGAACGATTGAAAGACCAGTTGAAAGAGTTGGAAAATGAAGAGAAAAATAACGAAACGATTGTCTCTGTTATTGATGTGGAAGAGGAAGAAAACATTGCAAAACTCGTCAAATCGGATGATATTTTTGAAATAAGCAATGAATCCAAAGAAAATGAAGAGAATGACAGAGAAGGCGACGACGAAGAGCACGAATTGCGACGACTGGCGCTCGCGTCCAAAAAGAAGAGGGAAATCCAAGAGCAAGAGAACGAAGAGCTAAGGCTTAGGCAACAATTGCTGAACGCTTTGCACAAATCCAAAGCCAAACTTAAATCTGAGTCTCCTGACGACTGGCGCTCGCGTCCAAAAAGAAGAGGGAAATCCAAGAGCAAGAGAACGAAGAGCTAAGGCTTAGGCAACAATTGCTGAACGCTTTGCACAAATCCAAAGCCAAACTTAAATCCGAGTCTCCGGTCAATCAAAAAGACGGCAAAGAAATGAATGCATTGATTGTTGACATTGACTCCAATCCAAGCGAACAGAACTCTAATTCGGAGTCTATTTTTGTAAATCGTTCTGAAGTGCAAACTCCTGTTAACGTGAATTCAGAAATTGAAAACATTATCAAAACATCGGATCAAATACCTCTCAAACCCATTCCTAAACTTATAATCAATTTTGGCGACGACTCGACTGATGAGGAGCAGGACATTAACGGCAACTCATTCATCGATAACGTTCCCCAAGGATTGGACTCATTCTTAAGACAAGCGCGACTCAGATCAGAGCCAAAGACAAAGTCTGGCCAATCATTGCTTGTGCTGTCGAACGCACGACAGAAAGAACTGCAAGAATTAAGAGCTGAGATCAAGAGAAGAGAACTAAACCTAATCAATGATAAGAAACTTCACGAAAACGAGTTGCTATTGAAATCAGCGAATGAAACATTAATGGAAAGGATTTCAAAGAGAAATTTGCTTAAAAATAGAGTTACATTAAAGAGGAATGCGTTACGAAAGGCACAGATTCAGGCGCGCAAAATGCAAGAGGCTTTCATTGCGGCCACTCGTGTCGTGTCGGCCACGGCTTCAGAATTTCATTCATTTAACGACGAACTCAAGAATATTGAAGTAGACGTCAAACAAGAAATTAATAACATTAACAACTATAAGAAGGAATGCCTGCGAATGGGAACTAAACTCAAAGGAGTGACATATAGGCTGCCGACCGGCGCCTCCTTTAGGCGCTCGAATAGCACTTCTATTAGTTCTAACAAAAAAGATCCAAAAGTAGAAAACAATAGTCTTCTGCGGGAAGATGTGGCCACAGAAATGAAAAAGCGTTTACAACAGGAACTGATGCAGAAGTTGGAGAATTGTTCAAAACTATTGAATCTCAAGAAAGCCAATCATTTGAGACCCTCTTCGCCGAACCCTTTTGTTCTTAAAACCACTCAAAGTGTGGAAACAAATAGTGAGAAAACAGATTCTCAAAAAATTTTGCAATTATTATCCAAAGAGTTATTGAAAGTTAATTCAATGGATCCGTTAATTTCTTACCACTGCTTTCTCGAGAATATGTTTTCAAACAAATGTCACAAAAATTTTAATATAAATATTCCCGAAAGTAATTCTCAAACTGAAGAAAATTACAAAACAAATGGCAACTCATATGACAGCGTTCTCTCGCATTTGCATTCCTATCGACTCATTGAGAATCAACCGAAGAATATAAGTTCTGATCACTGGACCAATAATTTGAATCCATTGCAAGAAATTTGCAGATTTGGTAACCATTTTTTCTTAGCTTTTGTTAAACTAATGTATTTACATTTGAATTTATATTTCTAGATCTTTTGGGCTCTTGTAATGACGAGAAATGTTTGGGACAACACATCAATAAATGTCTATTAAATCCGACCAACAAAATAGTGGATCTCTTATTATATGAGCCAAAGATAGCGGGAATTGCATCGGAAATACCGGAACGAATTGATAATGAATTGTTTGATGTGTTGACACAAAAATTGTCTCAATTTTCCCAAAAGCTAATCGATTCAAATCCGAAGCTTTCATTAGAAACTCATTGCAGAAAAATTGCTGACCAAATAATGAACGAATTGATAATGAATTGTTTGATGTGTTGACACAAAAATTGTCTCAATTTTCCCAAAAGCTAATCGATTCAAATCCGAAGCTTTCATTAGAAACTCATTGCAGAAAAATTGCTGACCAAATAAGGAAGCGATCGAAACAACCCGTTGTGTGTCTTATGACACGACGTATTCCCAAACTATTCAATACACCCAAACTGGACGTCCCTTTCGATGATCTTATGTATCGCTTTAATATTAAAGACAAGACATTAGTTATAAATAAGACGACAATATCTGAATTGAAATTGTCTGCCGATCCGGACATCTATATTAAGAATCGATTTTTCGCACCCGAAGGAGTGCCCATTAGTGCACAGCTCGAGACAACATTAGCTTCAGATCCGAGCAATATTCAGTTGTGGGTAAAACTGGCGTATATTCACATCAGCCGATCGTCGGATAACAGCTCTTCAGACTCTATCGATCGCGCACTCAATGTTTTGTCCAGAGCTTTAGAGTACAATCCAAGAGAACCGGAACTCTACGAACACTATCTCTTCATATATTCCAATCGAGTCATTAGAAAAGGCGAAGACTTTAGGTTTGATTTAAAAAACATTTGCAAGAAAGCGGTCGAACACTGCCCTCACTATAGGGTCTGGAAATGTGTTTTGTCTTTGTTTACCAGTTTCACAGATAAGACAGCATTTTCTGACCAATTGTTTCAGAATCTGCTTAAAAATACAATGTTTGGCGTCAATGACTTTGCGTGCCGTTCGCATCAGATATTGGAAATATTTTTGTTTAAAATTCACTTAAATATCCAACAAAATAGTGTTAAACAAATAGTCGTCGAGTTTGCGAAAGCTTTGGAAACCACTTCCGAAGAAAGTATTCAAAATATTAGCAAAGAGTTAACAAATAGTGATCGAGTGTTTGCGTGGCTTTGCTATACATATTTATTAATTTACCATAATTTGCCCAATCATTGCTTTGAGCTCTCAAATCAAGGTTTTCCACAACTTATAAACAAAAATGTTTTTATTTTCGATTGGATTTCATTGAAAAATAAGTTTAATTTGAATGAAATAAAGCTTCACTTGAATAAAGCTATCAAACACTGCGAACTCAACGATGAAAATGCCTTAATTTCGGACCAAAACTGTTTTGCCATTCATTTAAATTTAGCCGAACTCTCATTAGTTTGCGAATCGGATCATAAATATTACGATCATTTGATTGAATTAACCAAAAATAACCCGATTTTGTGGCCATTAATAGTCGAACACAGATTTAAGACAAATCAAAACGATAATAAATTAATTGAAATTTTGAAACAAAGTTTTGTATATGTGAGCGAAGAAAACATCAGAATTCACTTAAATATTGCTAAACATTATTTCAAAAGTGGTCACATTTTAGAGGCAAAAAATGAGTTACTTTTTATTGTATCCAATTTTTTTGTCAATTGTTTAATAACCGAAACTATTTTGAAACAAGCATTTGAGACACTGTTACTCGAGTCACAAGAAAATGATATAAACTTTGAGTTAATTAAATGCAAAAAAGCGATTGGATTTAAACCACCGGTTCTTTGGTTGTCTTATATGTGAGTTTAGTTGCATTGAGTTGTCTATTGAACGAAAATTGTAATTAAAATCTATTCGTAGATTATATCTGGAAATGGAGTGCAATTGTAGTCAACAAATAGATTCCGCATTTCAAAAGGCAATAGCTCTGAGTTCTGTCGACGGAACCGATTCCAAAGATTTACAACTTCTATGGTCTAAGTATACCATCAGTTCATTAATGTTTGTATTTTCTATTCAATAATTTTATGACAAATATATTTCAATAGTTATTTGGAATTTTGTGTTAAAAACATGAAAAACGAGAAACAGTTTATGGATTTGTTTGAATCTGTGAGACACTGTTGTCTTACAATATCTGATCCGTCATTTCAGTCACAAGTGATTAAATTCTTGTGCCAAATGTTGTCGAATGAGGAGAAGTCGAAGGCATTGATTCAGTTCGCAAAGTTATTGCCAACAAATCTGGACATAACTCTCACTGCAATTCATTTTGCGCTTAAAATCAACCAAAAGGAAAGGATTTGGCTCTTTATTAATGGCATTGTTTTCGATAAAAAGATTCGCTTTAAGTCTTTGCTGTTTTGGAAAATGTGAGATAATTTGAGTTGCATTTCAATATATTATCAAATAATTTGTATTTCCAGAGCCATTGGTTTGTCTATAGAAAGAGACGATCACTTATCGGTGCATAAGTTCTTCCAAATCGCCATCTCTTTAATGCCCTATAACTCCATTATATGGCAAAACGTAAGACTTTTTAAATATATTGTTATTATTAATTGTTTTCTGTTTGTAGTTCAAGACATACGAGACATGTATTAAACATTTTGAACATTTAAAACAAGCTAAAGGTATTTGTGATAAACAATTGAATATTACTAACCTTTTATAGTTATTTAATTGAATTAACATTTGATAAATTATATTTGTTTATTGATTATTGTTGTAATTGTTGTAATTTCTAAACAAAAAACAAATAAAATTATTTTTTATGGAAAATGTTTGTATTATTTAATGATTAATTAACTGTTATTTAAATTATTATAAAACATATTATAAAATACTTGATATAATTTTTTAATATTTACCAATAAAAGTGATCCGAGATCATCTGTCATAATATAATTGTAAGCATAATTAAATTCCTTTGGGTTTCGGTTCCCATTTTTAATCTAGGTGCTTTTTATATATTTTTCAATTAAAAATATCTTGTTGCCTTGGAGCGGATATTTCAATTTGTTGTCCATCTATCTGCTTCTTGTGTACGAAGGGGTTGTGTCGGGCAAAAACTATTTAATCAATTTCAATAATCAATATAACAAATTGATTGAATCGCTTTTATGAATACTCCAAAACTAGAAGATCTAGATTACAAATCTGTAAATATGTAAAAGATAAATAAAGGTCCACTTGTCTAGATTTTTGTATTAAAAAATTATTAAAATTACATGAATTAGGACCTTTGCCGAAGTTATGGCTCTAGACTAACTAAAGGGGGTCGGAAGGGGCGGGTTTGCTAATTGGTAAAGGTAAGGTGTCAAAATCTATGATAGAATAATTTGATAGAAAAATTTGATAGAAAAATTTGATAGATACCACATGAATATTATTTCTTATCAAACAATAATTTCTTTATAAATAAATTTTATTTATAACTTAAAAATAGAACATTTTTGCATTTAAAACAATAATATTTACAATTTAATTATTTATGATCGAAATTCCGATATACGTGTCAAATTAATTTTTATGATCTACATTTTGATATATTAATAGTGGAAATTGGTCAAATAGTTTTCCCCTACACAATCTTTTTGGTACACAATAATCAGATTGATTGATAAAAAAATTGAAATAGCCAAAATACACGTTCCGTGAAAACAGAATTTTTCTAGTACAAAAAATATATTTAAAATCCGCTAGGTTCAAAATGTGAGCAGAAACATCTTGGAATCTAATTATGCTTACAATTGTATGAAATACTTTATATAATTTATAAACATTTTGGTTATCAAATGCTAAAATTGACCCAAAAATAGAGTTGGTTTAGACATCACTTTGTTTTTGATGTACAATCAAATGACTACAAGAGGACAAGTTGTGGTCAATATTTCAAAGTATTCAAAGTGAACATAAAGCTTAAAATTCACAACAATAAACTTAAAAGTGTATTAACGTAATATTAGCAAATATTATTGCATGAAAAACTAATATTCTGTTTATTCGGATTCCAAACATAAGAATCAGGGTTTAATTGATATGTGTTTAACGAATACAAGTCTCGTATTTTTAATTATTACAGCAATCAATATATTTTTACTATTTTTTCCTGTGTTTAGTAAATATTAATAAGGAATGAAGAATATTACTATATTTACGAATATTACGAAACAAGAATGTACTAGTTTGTGTAGTGGGTAAACTGACAAGTGTATGGTTGTAGGTTAAGCATGGTATTTTACTTAAAATAGAAATGAATATAAATTGTGATATTAGTTAACAGCAAATAGAGGTTAATGTAAGCAATAATAGAGTTATTGTGATGTGAAACACATTAGTAACGCATCCTTTCATTGTCCTAAAAATGCTTTACATTGCCTTACATTGACTTTTATTACTTAGTTCTTAGGCTTAAGTCCGCTAATCGAAGCAATAAATTCTGTTTGTATTACTATTTGAAGTAACTCTTAATGTAAGTCATAAATTGTAACCAAAAAAAGGTTATTTGTTTGACATAATAATAATCTAATCCCTCCCTAACTGTTCACAAACACACAAATAGACAAACAATTAAATTCTTTATCAAATATGAATATAATTCTTGGAACCAATATTTAGTTATATTTTTACTTTTCTTTGCGTCAATGAATGCAATGAATGAGAAAATTATTGCAAAAAACGACTTCTCTTCAAATGCCCATTGAATTGGCATTTATTGTTAGATTTCAGCTCAATATTATGTTTTAAGTTTTACTCAAAATATTTCTTTAGTTATTGTAAGGAAACAGTAATTTTGTCCATAATTTTCAAAAATAACTTTTTTTGACATTGATTTTAACTTCAATTCTATATTTATATAACAAATTTGAATACAAATCGAGCGAATCCTCCAAACATTTAAGCTATTATTGAAATTTTTGACTCGTGTTTGTAATTTAAATAAATAATACAAAATTACTGAACAATTTGTGTTTTGAAACTTCTGTCCAGTTTTGTTAGCTTCGAGTCAAAAGAAAGAGTTGCAAAGAAGTCTACAAAACAATTGTGTGGATCG